CTGGTTCTGCTGCTGCTAATCTAAAGATGTAGAGTCATCTGGATCCAGGAGGTTCACTGGATCAGGATTTCTCCACATCTGGCTCTTGCTGGTAATGAGATCCCCACTCCTACTTCCTGCTTCTCAGAGGTTCAGAATGGCACTCCAAGGAATCCTGTTCACAATACTCACAGGTGAATCCTATCAGTATCTGTTAGATTCCTTGGGTGGGAAACACTTCAATTCTTGGGTTTGCATGAGAAAGAATTCACACTGAAGCCTAGTTTGTGATCCAAGTGAGTTTTTATAAAGGATAGAAGAAGTTTCAAGTTTTACAGTTAAGAACACGGGCAATCTCATGGGACTACACACTCACACGTGCGGCCTGAGGCCAGAGAAAAAGAGAGAGACCATGGCACAGGTGTGTGGAAGGCAGAGAAGGAGCGGGAAAAGAGGGGTGGTCTCCTGGTCTGGCCTTTTTGGGACCTGCGCCTGGGAGGCATGGTCGATGGTACTGGTTACCCATTGGCTGAATTAAGCCCACCTGGCCTAGACTGGGTCAATCCAGGTGTACCGGTCACTTGGGTGTACTGCCCGCCCCCACCTGGCTCAGGGCCTGAATTGGCACATGCCGGGTGGACACCCTGGTCCCTGTTCTGCTACCTAACATATCTTCCCCCACCTTCTTACTAGACCCATACAGGGACCAGCTGTTTGGTGAGAGTTAGCTTGCTTATGAGTCACATTAAATAACTCATTGTCCCTGCATGTGTGTTCCTTTTCTGGAGGGTGAAAGAACAACCTAATTGCTTTTCTTATGAGCGTATTCTGAGAAAGGTGGTCAAAGCTTTTGCAGGATAAAAATGACTGGGATGTTTCACCAGAGAGTCCTTCTCTACCATGACAGTGCTCCCCCCTCAGTAAACAAGGCAATTTTGTGAGTTTCAATGGAAAATCATTAGGCATCTGTCTACTTTACCATCCAGATTTGCCTCCTTCTGACTTTTTAATTCCATAAAGTTAACAACTCTTTAAAGGCACCC